TGCATGGAGCCTGCTTCTCCCTCTGCCTGTGTCTCTGCCTCTCTCTCTCTCTCTCTCTCTCTCTGTGTGTGTGTGACTATCATAAATAAAAAAAAAATTAAAAAATATGTTGTTAATAAAATTATTAAGAGAGTTCTGAAAGTGGAAGAAAATAAAACCAAAAGAAAGAAAGAAAAACAGAAAGATTAAATGTGGGATATATATGAAGAGTTATGTGAAAATAACATAATTTCTTGAGGAATTTAAGATACATATATAATTATTATCATATCAGAAATATGTCCAAAGATAGAAAAGAATAAAAGAATTAAAGTGTTCTGAGTTTCTAGCATTTTCTGAAAAGACAAAATTAGTAAATTGTATTAAATTGTACGATGCTATCATCTGAGTGTTTATCTCCCCGCTGCCTTCACCTCAAAAATTTATATATTGAAATCTTAATGACCAACGTGAGAGCAATAATAGGTAGAAATTTTGGGAGATGCTAAAATCATGAAAGTGGAGCTTTCATGATTGGGATTAGAGTTTTATAAAAGAGATCCAGAGAAATCCCTAGCCCTTCCACTTTATATGGACATAGAGAGAAGACGACTGATAATGAATAAGGAAGATCACTTTCATCAGAGAACTCTACCATCATAGTATCTTAATCTTGGACTTCCAGCATCCAGAACTATAAGAAATAAATTTCTATTGTTTATAAATGACCCATTTTGTTATTGCAGTCTGAATGGACTTAGTCTTCTTTCCTTAGTCTTAGGACTTATGGACTTATGGACTAAGACATATGGTATAATGTTTAGGTAATAACTAAAACAAACAAAAAGTATAAACTTAAATATATATATTATATATATGTATATAAAAGGAAATAAAAACAATAATTTTTAATTATTGCCAAAAACACCTTAACAAATTAAGGGAAATAAAATACAAAAATACAAAAAACCAATGTTTTGAGATAAAGAACTTTAGCTTGAATATAAATAAAATTCTCAAATCTCAATAGTAAAAATAAATAAGAAAACAAAAAATAAGTTAATTAAAATATAATAAAAAAACATTTCACCAAAAAGGATTTTGTGTGACAAAGAAGCACATGAAAAGATGTTTAATATCATTAGGATACACAAATTCAGGTCACAATAATATATTGCTAAATACCTATCAGAATGTAGACTAAAAAGACGGCAATGACACCAAATACTGCCAAAGATGTAGAGATACTGGATCACTCATACAATGCTGGTTGGAATGTAGAATTATACAACCACTCTAAAAAACAGTATACCTGTTTCTTACAAAAGTAAATATGTCATTAGCATACAACTCAACAATTGAGCTCTTGAGCATTTAACCAAAAAATTGAAAGAGTATTTTCATGTAAAAACATACATAAATTTTCATAGCATCTTAATTTAAAATAGTCCCGAACTGGAACGACCTAGATATCCTTCAAGGCGTGAATATTTTTAATGTGGTATATCCGTATCATGGAATGCTATTAGAAATTTAAAAACAATGGACAATTGAAAAATGCAACTACTTGGAAGAATTATTAGAGAATTATGCTGAGTAAGAAAATTCAATCCCCCCCCCCAAAAAAAGAAAATTCAATCCATTAAGGTTACATAATGTAAGATTTCATTTATATAGTATTCTTAAAATGACATAATAATAGAGATGAAGAAAAAATTAATAAATTGTCAGAGGTCAGGGACATGCTGGAGGGGAAGGATATTGGAATGGTTATAGAAGGGCAACTGGAAGGTTCTTATGGTTTTCATGAAACTGTTCTTGCTTGTGGTTGTGATGGTGGATAAAAGACTGAATACGAGAAAAAATTCTATACAACTATACACTCACACATTCACACATGTGAAATCTGAATGAGTGGTGAAATCCACTCTTATCTATTTCCTGAATGTGGTATGATACTATAGTTTTGTAAGAAGTTACCATTTGGGAAATGGATAAGGGGTAATCAGAATCTCTATATTATTTCTTATAATTGCATGTGAAAATACAATTATCTCAAGATAAAATATTTAATTGTAAAAAACAAAAACCTAAAGTGTTGAATAAAAAAAAAATACTAAGATGATAGATATAATCCCAAGTATAATAGTAATGACAAGTACTAGACTAAATAATCCAAGTGGAAGATTAAGTTATTTTGGATTTAAAAAGAGAAATAAAAGAAAAATAGATTTAGCTCAGAAAAGACACATTTTGTAGAGTAAGACTAATAAAAGTTGAAAGACATGGATAAAAGAATATATAATGTAAATATTAGCTAATAGATATTTGGTGGAATTCTCAAAAGCAAGAAACAATTTCAGAGATATAGGACATTTCATAATGATAAGTGGGTTATACATAAAAAAGTAATAAATCTACAAATTTATTTATATCCAATAATATAAAATTAAATGTATACAGCAAATATTGACACACTAAAAGGAGAAACACACAAAGTCACTATCACAGTAGGAGACTGAAAAGCACCTTTCTCAATATCTCATACAATAAACAAAAATACCAATAATGATACAGAGGATTAGAATACTTAATGAACAAATATAATCTAGTTGACATATGTATGATACCTCACTAAAGAAAATGACAATACTCTTAAGTGCATATGGAACATTTGGAACTATTCATACACTGGATGAAATTAAGTCTCAACAAGTATCAAAGGCTTGAAATTATTTTGCATGAAATTATACTAGAAAGCAACAACAAAAGAGACAATTAGAAAAATCCCAAAATATTTTTGAAATTCTGCAATACACTTTTAGATAGTCCTTGAGTCAAAGAAGTAATTATAACAAAAATTAGAAAATATAATTAAATAAATACTTTTTAAAAACCTCATGAATATCAAGTTTTGTGGACTTCCAATTCTGGCTAAGAAAGAGTAGTCCAATTCCTCTCAAATGCTCCCCAAGACAACTAATGAACCTTGGACATAATCCAACAACAGGTATAGATAACGCTTGAAAGTAAAAGAACAAGGCTAATTGCCTAGGGATTTTTGGACTTGAGGAATGACAAGGTAATAAGTCTTGCCTTCCATACATCTTAGACACTGTGCTCTAGAAGTCTGCAACTCAGAATCACTAACAGCAAGACAGAAAAAAGGGGGGGGGTTCCAAGAAATGTTGTTCTCCCTAATGGACTAAGAAATAAGTCGACTAACCACATTCAATCTTTTTTGGAAACTTGCACTTATCCAATCAAGCATCAATGGAACCACTGTCCCCTTCCCCCAGGATTCAACCAGGCCAAGCAGGGAAATAATCTTTCACACATCCTCTGATTCCCTTGTCTAGTGGTGTTCAAGGGGCCAAGCAGGAAGCTGATCCTCCATCCCCCCACCTAGAACCAAGGCAATATTCTCTCTCCCCTTGGGGTAATGGCAGTAAAGTTTAGTGGGAAGATTAACCTCCATTCTCACCCTGCAGCAATTAAACTGAGTGAGGTGGTATGAGATGGACTTAGTCAGTACTTTGCCTCTCCTCCCATGCTAACCACCATGGCTTAGCAGGAAGCTCTACCTCCACTCCCACCTGTCATCACCAAGGTGGAGTGAGGTGATGGGAGGTGGGAATCCTTGCTCTTAGCTTTCCCTCCATCTCCTCTTCCCTGACAGCAGGATCTCACTATGGAGAGCTGAGCTTCTACCACATTCTGGACATGACAAGAGCTGAAAAACATATCAACAAAGTAAATAAAATCATGCTAAATGGGCTCAGCAACAGAATGGAAACAAGAAAAGATAAAATCTGAGAACTTTAAGATAGATCAATAGAATTTACTCAGTCTTATAGCAGAAGGAAAACTGAAAAACACAGGTATAAATTTTCAGGGATATGTGCAAGAATAATATAAGAGCTAACATTGTATTAACAAAGTGACAGAAGGAGAGAAAAACGAAAATCATAATACCACCTGATATGGTGCTTGAAATATGTAGAAGAAATTAAGATAATTATACTTAAAAAGTAAGGGAGGATTAAGGGATCTAAATGAAAGTAATGTTTCTATACTTCATTTAGTGATAAATCATCAATACCAGCAGTGTGATAAGATATGTATGTATATTGTAGTGTCTTGAGCAGCCACTCAGAAAACTATATCAAATGATATACTCAAACACTATGTAAATAAATCAAGATATAATCCTGAATTTCTGGGTATAGCTAAAGCAGACTTTGTTGGAAATGCAGTTCTGACTACACATATTAGCAAAGGATGTCTGAAAAATCAATGATCAAACCAAAAGTTGGCAAAAAAATCTCACCTGACATGTTTTTATAAATAAAGTTTTATTGGAACACAGCCATACTCATTCATTTACATACTGTCTATGGCCATTTTCATGAAACAAAGGCAGGATAATTCAATAATTGTGACAGAGACAATAGGCCCACAAAGCCTAAAATATTTACAATACCACTGGTTACAGAGAAGTTTTAGGATACTTAGAATATCAATCTCAAGGAACTATAAGAACAAAAAGTCAAGCTAAAGAATTTAAGAATGAAAACAATCAAGAATAAGGGAGAAATTCATAATTTATAAAACATACACATAATGAAGAGCTTCAGGACATTGCTAATGATTCACACTTATTTAAAAAGATAACATGAGAATATTACCAAGTACATGAAAATAAAGTTTGCCATTTAAATAAACTATATAATTTCCTTGAGAAAAAGCAACTTACTAAAACTAAGATAAGAGGTAAAGAAAATAAATATGTATCTACTAAAGACACTGAATGTATTATAGCAAATTAGTACAGTCAGGGCTTTAACTTAAGGTTTGTGTCATCAGATTCATAAATGTTTTACTGTGTTATACTATGTTTTCATAGTTCTTCTTTCTACTATTAGAAATATGCTGAGAATAAAAATCATATTATGTTCAAAATTTGGTTGCAGGCCTCTGTGCAATGTACAGAAAATCAGACCCTATTAGCATGAACTCACCGACTCAAATCCGTCCCAGGAACATACTGAGAGAAACGTGAATGAAGCAGCGGGATCAGCCTAAGGTCACACCATCGCTTTTCCCATCTCAAGCCTGGAGATGTTGGCCATGAAGAACATGACAACGTGTCCTGAAAAGAATACAAACAAATCAATATTCTTTTTTTCCATTTCTGTGTTTTGAGTTCTTTTGTCACAAATACTTTTCATTTGGGGGATCATTTTTTCCCCTAAATAATCAAAAGACATTTATAGACTGCCTCAAAAAGGGATCCATATTCATTGCCAATGAAGTTGTATCTGTTAATTTTCTTATTAATAGAATTCTATAGGAAAGTAAGGAGGGAACCATTAAGATTAAGAATGGTAGAGAAAGCATATGAAAAAAAATGGAGTGGGGAGAAGGGAGAAAAAATAGAACAATAACAGAACTGAATTCATTCAGGAACAGGAAATATGGGGCAAGCTGTAACTGTAATGAAGTAGTAAGTGACAAATATAAAAATAAATCGTAGTTCATTCCATCAGCCAACATTTTCTGAGTATCTGCTAAGCACTAAACAATATTATACAAGTGCTTGTGATTTATCTGTTACTGGTAAATATTTTTGAATAGAATGTATATTCTTATAAAACATTTTTAAAAAACTTTTTAAGGAAATCTGTGTCCATTGCTTTAACTTTATATAACGTTTCTATTTTCTTACATTGCTTTAAAGTCGTGTTAAATCAACCAGTGCTGGTTTAAAATTACATGTATTTTAACTTTCATTAGAAGTTTGGGTCTTTTCCCTTAAATTTAGAAGAGACAAAAAAAAAAAAAAGAAGAAGAGACAGATTTGAATAAAATTTGGGCTTTTCACACTTGATGATGATTCACACTTCTTTCATTATTTCAGCTTTACCTCAATATCTCTTCCTGGCAGTAGTACATGTAAAAATGTTTTATTTAAGTTTCCAGGGATAGTAAGGGGCCAAATCACAATTTGATTTCTTTATATTCTATAGATTTTATAATTTTTGAGTGATGATGTTAGAAGGAGATCCTATTTTAGTCTAGATGTTGAAACTCCATTAGTCTCAATATTATTATTAACATTTTCTATTTTTAAGGATTTTAAGTAATCTCTATACCCAACATGGGACCTGAACCCACAGCCTTGAAATCAAGAATCACATGCTTTACCGACTGAGCCAGGTAGCATCCCTAACATTTTCTTTAAGGTATTAATTTCTTCAAAATTGCTTAGGGGAAAAAACTTCCATTATTTTCACTAAAAGTTGAGTGCTCTTTGGCATTATTATGTTAACTGGTACCAACTCTGCTAATAAAAATCTACTAAATCCTTCCAGTTGTTGAGAATACCAGGCAGAGTAGGAAGGCAGGAGCAGACTTGCTAAGACCATCTAGTGAGGGGCCCCTACTGGTGATTGGTCTCCAAGACACCTAGCTTTTGATGCAACAAGGATGCCATTCATGCTTATCTGGTGATTGCAAAGGCGCAGACATAGGTTTCATATTAATTTTTCTTCTGGCCTTAATATCACGTGTTATAGATGGTCAACACAATGAAATGGCATCAATTAGGTGACAGTGCCACAGGGTAAAGAATCAGAATCAGAATATCTGTGTTAAAAAATGCCAATTTCCCAACTGACTAGTTCTTTAACCTAGGGACAATTTAAACTCTCTGCTCTTTATTATGCTCATGTCCAAAGATAAGGCTGTCACAAGGCTTCCTCTCACAAAAGAAAAACCTAAAACTTTTTTTAGGTGCAGTAAATTATTGCTTTCCCACCTTTTCTGCATGAGGGTACTTAAAAAAACAATAATCCCGAGTGATGCACTAGGGTAAACACACTAAGTTTCTATGACCAGAACAGACTGGAGCAAGTTCAAGTGTCGTGGATGCCACTAAGCTGCCCTATAACTATTAAGCACACATCAGTGTATGTCTAGAACCAACTCAAAGGGCCCCAGTACACATGGTTTTCTCCTGAGAAATTTTACAGTAAATAATTGGTTCAAGTCAGCCAGCCTGCAAATGTCAGTGTCAGGCAGATTCACTCAGATCTACATCTTTTTTTTTTTTAAGATTGTATTTATTTATTCATGAAAGATGCACAGAGAGAGGCAGAGACATAAGCAGAGGGAGAAGCGGGCTCCCCGCGGCGAACCCAATGTGGGACTCGATTCCAGGACCCCAGGATCACACACTGAGCTGAAAGCAGATGCTCAACCACTGAGCCACCCAGGCGTCCCCAGACCTACATCTTTATGATTCTAGGACCATATCTATCATAGCACAACATTTACCATTCACAATCAGATGTGAAACTATGCAAAGAATAATTCAGGTTTTTGTCTTGATTATTTCACAATTTAAAATATTTTTAATATACTTTATTTCAATTTATACATCTTTGTTCTTATTCTCTAAAATCATAAGTATCATGCATTACTCTGCACTTAATACCTTCAGAATTCATCAAAATAATGTTCAATCTTAATGCTAAAAATGAAAATAAAAATCCCTCTTGAAAATGGAAAGACATAATTCCTATAAGGGAAATTTACAATTGTTTTTAAAAAATTTATGTTAGAGGGATTTACTTGGAACAGTCATGTTGTAGAATCACTCAGTGATTTTATTGCTTAATTATATCTTTCTAAAGGAGAACATGATAGTAAGCAACAACATAGAAGCATGGTTTATGAAATTCAATCCACAGATATTTTAGTACGTCAACCTGATGAGTTAAAAAGCCAGACTGATTCTTAGCCATAGCCCTTCCATGCTCACTTCTCTACTTCTCATTATTATAGAGAAGTCTACAGGTAATAGACAAGAATTAGAATAAAACAGCTTCCTCCCACTCTGAAGTAAAAGAGCTCTTCCTTCCTGTCTGAGGAACAGAGCTGAGATGGGAATTTTTGAGTCAATGATATGTGAAGGGAAAGTTCTTAGGAAAAACCTGTGAGGACTGAGGGAAGCAATGGATGAGACAGGTAACAACCTTGCCAGAGATGTGGGCTCTTGAAGTCCTCAATTTGTTGGCTACAGCCATACCCTGGGAGGGTGTGGTGATTCCAGATTCTCAGGCCCAGGCTCTAAGAAAGTCAGCAGTGAATGGAGTGGGTTGGGGAGAAGAGCTGTGTAACCAGCTTTCACAGCAACTGGGGGTAGATGCTCCAGCCCAGTAAAGGGCCTGGTAGGACATGGAAAGCATCAAGAGCATCTAGGTTGTAAGGAAAGAAGGTGAGCGGTTTCTGAAGTAATAGGTAAAGATTTGGTTGGAGATTGTAAAAAGTCTGTAGAATTAGAATTAGAATTAATTAGAATTAGAATTAATTAGAATTAGAATTATTAGAATTAGAATTAGAATTGCTAATGGCAACATAGAATGTATATATTCATTGATTCATTAGGTATTTAAATCACTCCAGTCTTGCCATCTTCTGATGATCAGCGTTTTAAATATTATCTATAATGTGACAATTATTTCTTTGGGAACAAAAATAAAAAAGATCAGATGAAATACACCAGGAGGTGGTTGGTGTATGCAGGCAGAGATAACCTTTGGTCTTGCCAAGGATTCCTCTTTGGGAACAAATAAATAATAATATTTAAAAGGATGTAGGTACTTAAGGCACACAGGTAAAGAACAGAACTGGTGCAGTGAGGTACAATGAAGGCTGGAGATACTCAAAAGGAGTACTTTAAGTAAAATGCCACAATTAGGTCAAGAATTTCAAATGAAAGATGAATTTTACAAGTTAGAAGCTATATATGTTTTATATCTTAAGACGTGGAATAGAAAAATAAAATTCTACTTAACTGTACTCTTCTTTGTGATCCCAGGGGAAATTTGTTAGACTCGCATATAACCTGAGAGAACTGTTTTGTCTTTAGCATGTGTGAGCGTTTTAGAGGATGAAATATAAAGAGTTTCAAGCATATTTATAAACCAAAATCCAAGAAACAAAAACTTGTTTACTCAAAATTTCAAGTGGAGAAGAAACTTTAACATTTTATTAAATGTTTTAAAAAAAACAAGCATGCCAATTTTATCAATGATTAAATATATGTATAGTTTAACATTTGTGACATTTTAACATGATATTAGATTATTCTCACTTTGTGGGTGAGATTGTTTTCTGGTATGCCTGCAGATTGATAAGAAATCCTACCAAATGGAAAATTAGATCCCTACTTCTAGCTAAATGATTTCAAAAGAAAAATGACAAAAATCATGTCAAATCTCATAAAGCATGAAGTTAAATACAATATGCACTATTATAAGGTGATTATATGATGTTATGTGTGATCTCACAAAGTCCCTATAGCTTAACAAAAGGCCTAATGCAGACATGAAAGGATAAAAATGACATTAAAAAATAACTGACCTATGAATTTTTTCCTTCCTGGCTCATTTTAACTACTAACTCTTAAAGGATGAAGCAAACAAGTATTTCAACTGTATCAGAGCAATGAGATTCATTAGCAGTTTTTGGAGACTATGAATATACATCTATATGCACATATATATTATATAATCATACATATTATATATGTGTGTATATATATATATACAGACACATATATACTTTACTCTTCTGCTCTCTTTGTGTTATGTCCTTATTAATCTGAACCATGCTTTGATCATCTTACTGTATTGTTGGGATGATAGTTGAGATGCAAGCCACTGTCACAAAGAGGTGAGGAGGTGCCACTGCTCTGGTCACTTGGAGCACCTGCAAGGAAAAATATCACAACACCCCAAAGGTTAGAACACCCAAATATTCTAGCTGATGCATTCTACATTATATATTTCCATATACTCAGTAATGTCAAGAAAATCAGGTAGTAAAATAAATTATTATTTCACTTATATCAAAGCCAGAGTTTTGCCAAATAAGGTAAGTGGGACCCTGAAAGAGACTCATGTATTTATCTTTGATTTCAGAAATATTGCAAGGCTTTATTATTAAAAACATATAATCTTATAAAATTATTATTTCATTTCATTATCCAAAGTGACCTACACTTATGATCCATAATTATAACGGTGCAGGATTTGAGTTGTCTACATAATTCTATTTATCATTATGTTTCAACCTACCAGCAAGTTATATTTTTAGATACCATAATTTTCCATGATGCAAAATAAGTTTGCATGGGATCTTTCTTTATAAATGCTCTTGGTATATGTTATAATTGGAAGTACCTTCACTGATGCCATCTAAATTGGTGAAACAAACTAAAAAACTTCATATCAGATTCTCATGAGAAGCCTACTAATATCTTTCTCTAAATATGAGTAATGTATGTCTTAAACCGAGATTTCACAATTCAGAAATTTTTATAGTTAAGATTAGAATACATTTTTAAAATTTTTGATTTTTTTGTGGGGGGAAAACATTGTATATATTGAAGGTGCTAATGTTGATAAATATGCACTATTAATATAATTGACTCCCATTTTTTACTTGAAATATTATACTTATATTCAAGCATCAGAGGTCATAAGTAACACTCTTAATATTAATGTGTTGAAAAAAAAACCCAAATAATTTTGTTCTCTTTTTTATCACTTTAAAGTTCCATAGCTTTCCTGGCTCTAAGAAGGGGATTGTAGGTCTCTCTACCAAACTAGCATAAATACAGTTTTTCCACTTTTAAATGTTAACAATTTCATACTTTGTTTTAGCTAATTTTTATTTTGATGTTTATCTGCATTGTATTTTATGAGACAACATTTTAATGAATAAAAACATTACTTAAATTTTTTTTACTTTAAAATTTATATCCACTTTTAACAGAATGAAATTATATGTCAGATTCTGTGACAGATCCAAGCAGTCTTTTGAGTGAAATTCAAAGATTTAAATGTATGCATAGGAAAAAGATACAAGTTCAGTGATCTATGCTTTCTTTTTAAGAAGTTAGATATGAAAGAGCCAATTAAATCAAAGTAAGTAGAAGATAGAAAATAATAAAAATAAAAGTTGAGAATAGTAAGATTAGAACAAAATTATAGACAAAATTAGTCAAGAGAAAAATAGGTTCTTTGGAAAGATTAGTAAAACACATAGCAAAAATGATGTAGCAACAGAGTGTGAAAACACAAGTTATTAATATCAAGAATGTGAAGATACTATTACTGCAAGCCAACAAACATCAAAAGGAATAATTAAAGGATATGATGAATAATTTCATGCAAATAAATTCATAACTAAAATGGAAAAAATCGTGAAAAACACTTTACCAAAACTTATAAAAGAAGAAGAAAAGTATTAGAAAAATCCTGTAAGAATTCAAGAGATTAATTTATACAAAATAAAAACTATACTTCTAGGGTCAAGTTGCCTTTTTGGTGAATTTATTAAATTATTTAAGAAGAATATACTATTACTGGTAAGAAAATTCTTTATGAATATAAAGGAGGGGTTGTTACCTCCTTTCATGGTTACCTGAAAACATCAAAAACTCAGGTACCAAAATCCACTAAAACATCACAAAATGTACATATGGATATCCCTCATGAACATATTTTTTACAAAGTCTTAATATATTAACAAATTGAAACCAGTAATATATTAAATATACTTTAACATTTCATGATCATGTGGTGTTTATCTTAGGAATACAAGTTTAATTTGGCATTCAAAATAAATATTTTAAAATTCACCATATCAGCAGAATTATAAAAAGATGAAAAATATATCTCAATGAATATAAAAAAAATTGTGACAATTGAATATCTCCTTATGTTAAAAAGAAAAAAAAAGAAAAATGCACAGTAACCCAGGAATAAAAGAACAGTACCTCAACCTAATAAAGGGCATGTGTGAGTATCTAGAGCTAATATCATATTTATTGATATAAAACTGGAAATTTCTCCTCTAATGTTTTGAGCAAGAGAAGGATGTTTATTCTTAATACTTTGTATAACATTTTCTGGAAGTCCTAGCCATTGCAATAGGCAAGAAAAAGGAATTTTAAAAATATAGATTGGAAAGAAAGAAGCAGAATTCATTATTTACAGATAATATAATTAGAGAGCCTTAAAGAATATACCAGAAATCCTACAGAACTAATAGATGCAGAATATGTGCATGTATAAAAATAAACTATGTCTATGTGTTAGCAACAATAACTGGACAACTATTTTTAAATATCATTTATGGTAAAATAAAAAATTCCTAGAAATAAATGTAATGAAAGATATGCAAGACTTTCCCACTGAAAGCATTAAAATGTTGCTGAGAAAATTAGAACATAAATAAATGGAAAGTTATATCATGTTCATGGATTGAAAGATTTAAAGTTGTTAATGTGTTAATTCTCAAAATTATCTATAAATCAGAATCATAATTGGGTTTTGTAAAAATCCATGTGTTATTTCTAAAATATGTACAGTAATGTAAAGAGCCTAGAAGAGTTAATAATACTGAAAAATCGCAAAATTGGAAAACCTATCCTATGTCATCAACATGGTAGTTATGGTGAAAAACAGACCCCAAAATTAATGGAAATAAAATAACTTTTTGATTATAAATTCCTAGCTCAGACATAAAAAGTAATTAATATAAGGTGGACTTTAAATTTAAACTTAAAACCCAATGACATAAAGCTTCTAGGAAAAATGTAGGGAATTTCTTTGCAACTTTGGGGTAGGCAAATATTTCTTAAAGAAGATACAGAAAAAAATAACCATATGCAAAAGAACAACAAAATGGTAGATTAGATATTGTCAAAATTAAAAGCTTCTGCAAACTTAAGACAGTTTTAGGTAAAATACAGTATTTATAGACTGAGAGAATATTTTTGTAATACATATAGCCAACAATGATTGTATACAGAATATAATCTTAAACTCCTGCAGTACAATAATATGAAGACATACTAACAGAAAAATAGGCAAAACATGAGCAGACACATTACAAAATAAGATATATAAACTAATGATATATGCAAATGATACATCATAAGGAGATGATCATAATTAGTCTTCACAGAAATGCAATTTTGACTATAATAAGCTTCTGCACACTTGATAGAATATCTAAAAAAAAAAAAAAAAAAAGTGGGCAGCCCGGGTGGCTCAGCAGTTTAGCGCCACCTTCAGTCCAGGGCGTGATCCTGGGGATCTGGGATTAGGTCCCACATCAGACTCCCTGTAAGAAACCTGCTTCTCCCTCTGCCTGTGTCTCTGCCCCTCCTCTCTGTGTGTCTCTCATGGATAAATAAAATTTAAAAAAATCTGTGACCATAAAATATTGTGATAAATGCAGAGCAACCAGAACTCTCATACATTGCTGGAGTGGAGAGTAAGAGGTCTAGAAATATAGTCCGTTTTAGAAATATTTTTTGGCAGTTAGGTAACAAGTTAATTATACATCTACCTGGTGACTTTGCAATTCCACTCCTAAGTACTTATGGTAGTGACATAAAACTGGAAGACTTTCAAAAACCTTTTACAAAAATGTTCATAATAGCTCTATCTATGGTGGCAAATTACAGGAAACGGCTCTGTTATCCATCAATAGATGAACAATTAGCAAACTTTCACATATTCATTTAATGGCATATAACACAGCAATGTAAAAGAAAAAACAATTGAAATATATGTGATTTTTCATTATGAAAGAAGCCAGACACAAGAGTAAATACAGCATGATTCCATTCTAAAAAAAGTCTTAGGAGAAGCAAAAAGAATATATGATATTAAGCAATCAAATTAATGGCTGTTTCTGAGGATGTTATTTATTGGGAAGAGGCACAGAGGAGACTTTCTGTGATTTAAAGGCATGTGGATTAAGCAAATGTGTCCATTTGTCAGAACCAATCCAATTGTTCAAGATCTTTGCATTTCATTACATGCAAATTATGCCTCAAAAATATATTCTTTGATTTTTAGCAAAAATGTTAGATGATATTTTGTTTTTAAGATTTTGTTTATGTTATGTTTATTCATGAGAGACACACACAGAGAGAGAGAGAGGCAGAGACACAGGCAGAGGGAGAAGCAGGCTCTATGCAAGGAGCCTGATGAGGGACTCGATCCCTGGTCTCCAGAATCACACCCCAGGCTGAAGGCAGTGCTAAACCGCTGGGCCACGGGGGCGGCCCTATTTTATTTCTTAATGTATAAATTGATACAGAGATTTTAAAGTTACTCTTATGAGTTTCCACATGAACTGGTTTCCTTCAATCTTCCAAGCCTCAGCAGGACTAACTTATGTGTAAATGCTTGTTTAGCAAGTCCAGTAGACAAATGAAAGTATATCATTTCATAGTTAGAGAAAATATATTAGTCAATTATTATGAATGAAATATAATAGAGATACAAAATGTGTGTAGTTGATGTGATACTATTTTTACAATAAATACTATGCCTCTAATTATAGGTTAGCAAATAACTGTAAACGTGCTGAGTACATTCTAAAACAAAAATAACATCTGCTCCCTTTGCATAAGTATTCATAGAATGTTTTGTGTTATAAAAATATTTGTATTCAAGCAGAAATCTCAACTTTAAGAAAATTACCAATTACTGTCAGGAAATAATGGTTTAGAAAGTAAATATGATGATGTGAGCATTTTACCTATTCTTCATAAATGCTTACATGCACAATCTTCATTCAGTGGGAGTTTGAGGAAAGCAGGTGCCCTTTTTAAAAATGACACTGTTAGGGTCACTTCTTCTCCAGCATTCCGAAGCACCTGAACCTAATACAAAAAAGAATGAAATAATACTGTTACTTGTGTGGTCACAAAGTATGTTATATGATTGCAAAACCTTGAAGTGATTTGCTGTCTTTTCCACCTCTCTTTTTTCCCTAGTGGTCAGAACATTTCATTAAAGATAGGAGGAATGAATTATGTAACATTGTAGGAATACAGCCATCACTTCTTCCTCTTCCCACCATTTGGTGGTCCTCTCTGTTCGTTCACGATGTTATCATTTTCCTTTAATACTTATAGAGGTCTCTTAGTATATAGTCTATATTAGGCAATATGAGAGATTATGACATTTACAGAAAGATATGGTGCTCAAGCCACTGTGTCATTAATTTAATAGTATTTATTGAACCTGTATTATATACCACCTACAGACAAAAAATAAATGACTCTGTATGTCAATGAAAGGTCTAATCCAAATTAAACAAAATTGGCCCAATTCATTCAAGACTTTTGCAAAAAATAAATAGATACTATTTTCTTGTTATATCATTGCATACTTTATTTTCCTTTCCCTGCAGACTTGGAATAATGGTGGAGACTGTTATCATCAACTCTCAACACTTGTCAAATTATAGATTAATAGGCCTAGTTCTACTAGTTAAAATAACACCAATTTCTTCAAAAATTGTATCAAGACAAACATAAGAAATACTAAAAGAAGTACAAGAAGTTGAGGAGTTATCTGTAATATACATATTAGAAAAGATATAGGTATATTTATAATTTTAAAATCTCACATCAGCTAAAAGGAGAATTATGAATAATTAGCGAAGGCAGTTAATAAACATGGGAACATAGGTTGTGATTAAACATCTAGAAAAAATGCTCAACCTCCAGTCATTAGAGAATTAGCTATCAAAATGATTTAGAATGGCTTCTGGTCTGGAGAAGATGGCATGACTTCATCTTTGTTCTCCCTCAGTAACTAGAAACACCTAAAAACCTGCAAGAGACAACTGAAATGCAAATCAAACTCTGAAAGGTAGAAAGAAAAAAGAACTTGTTAGGGATCCCAGGACAGAAGGAATAGCACAGAGAAGGGATGTTTTCTATGCCCTCACCCAACAGAGCAACTTCTACCCACTGCTGGATAAAGCATCCCTTTGGGGCAGCACTGGGGGCTCAGCGGTTTAGCACAGCCTTCAGCCCAGGGTGTGATCCTGGAGACCCGGAATGGAATCGAGTCCCACGTCAGGCTCCCTGCATGGAGCCTGCTTCTCCTTCTGCCTGTGTCTCTGCTTCTCTCTGTCTCTCTGTGTCTTTCATGAATAAATAAAAAAAAATCTTAAAAAAAATGTTAAAAAAAAGCATCCCTTTGTTTACTTAGTGGTTCCAGGGGCCCAGCCTGAGAAAACTGTTTCCATCTCCTCAAACAGCATCAGCAGGGAACAGTGGGAAATCAATCTGATCAAAGAAGCCAAACACTGTTCTAAATAAGTATATTGGCAATGGGACCACAGTCCACAAAATTAGGCTATGACCTGTATGGTAAATAAAGTGAATTCCTGTTAAAAAGGAAAAAAAAAAATCTTATATAAGATCCATAGGCTCAAAATAATAAGAAAGTGGCTAGAATACAATAAAATAACATGTCTCACTAAGAACCAGGAAAATCACAAATTGAGTGATAAAAGATAGCTAACTCCAACTAGATGAATTACAAACTGGTATTATCTGATAAGGATTTTAAAGCCACCTTAATAAAAATATTTCAACAAGAAATACAAATCCCTTGAATCAAATGAAAAATTACAAAATCTCAGCAAAGAAATACAAATTTTGAAAAAGGACCAAATGAAAACTAATGAACTAAAAAATACATTAACATAAATTTAAAAAAAACTTATTTTTAAGTTTTTGGCTCAATGACAGAAGATAGAATCAGTCAAATGACAAAAAATAGAATTCACAAACTTGAGGACAGAATAAAATTCACTCACATGCAGGAAAAAGTAATATATTTTATCACATTAAAAGTGGAAAAAAGTTTAAAAGTGAAGAAAATTATGTAATAATTTAAATAGATGCAAAGAAGCATTTAATAAAATACATTTGATAAAAATTCACAGAAAACTGCATATAAAAAAGAGTATCTTCATATTATAAAGAGGATATAGGGACACCTGGGTGGCTCAGCGGTTTGGTGCCTGCCTTCAGACCAGGGTGTGATCCTGGAGACCGGGGATCGAGTCCCAAGTCAGGCTCCCTGTATGGAGCCTGCTTTTCTCTCTCTGCCTGTGTCTCTGCATCTCTCTGTATCTCTCATTAATAAAAAATAAATAAAATCTTTTTAAAAAAATAAGGAGGATATAGAAATTTCTAGAAGAAATGTCATTGTTAATGGTTATTTATTGAGACATTTCTTTCTGAGATCAGAGATGAGACAAAAATGTCCACCATCTTGTTTCTTTTAATCTTTCTTCAGGTCTTACTGCAATTCGGCAAGAAAAGAGCTAATAAAATGCACAAAAATTGAAAGAAGCAATAAAACTATCATTATTCAGAGATAAAATAATTTTGAGCATAAATAATCTTTGGGAACCTGTAGACATCATTACATTAGATATTACTAGTTGAGTTACTAAGGGTGTTTAGCATAGAATAGTGTAGATACAAAGTAATAAGCTGTTAGAAAGAAAACCATAGGCCCAAAATGGAGTAATATATGTTAGGCTGTCACCAAACTAGGGCTTAATACCTAATCTAATTGCAGTTCCAATTTCTCCCAGAAATGTAGTCTTAAATAGTCAGGAGTTTTCTGGTTAGCACCAAGGAGGTGATCTGTCCCATGGGTGCTCTCCATTCCCCAAAGGAAGATGAAGTAATCCATCTATGAGGGCCTCTTGCCCTTGCCTTTCTTCTTTCTTTCTTTTTGACTAATTGTCCCTTCTCATGTGTGCATATAAAATTCTCCCACTTTGTACAGAAACTTGGAGCTCCTTTCTACTTGTTGGATGGGATACTGCCTGATTCATAAATGGCTTAACAAAGTGCATTAGACTTTCAAATTTACTTGGTTAAATTTTGTCTTTGAATAATACAAGGGTCAACTGGTTTTGATTCAATATCAACAAACAAATATAACATTAATTTTTAAATAATGGAAGACATGCTATGCCATGGATCACTAGGTGTAATACTGTAAAGATAACAATTTTCTCCTATTTTTCTATAGATGCAAGACAATCCTATTCAAGGTACCAATGTCTTTTTTTAATTCAATTTTTGGCTTAGTATGAACTTATGAACTTATGTTTTGTATTAGCACTTAACACTGATATAATCATTATTACATAATTGTATTGAGAATTTGTTAGTCAGTGTAATATATGGGACGGTGGAACACAATAGGCCAATGGTTACATTCTATAGTAAATGTACAGCAAATAATTTCTACCATTAAATAATAAATAACAGTATGAGTATCTTAAGGGTAAATATGAGAATAAACATGAAGAAGTTAAATATGGTTCCCTCGAAAATAGGCAATGGACAACTGCTTTACATATGTACTTCAGTCTTGAAGTTTTCATTCAAGTGTAATTGAGAAAAATAAAAATAATAATTTTAATTGTAAAATCTCACCATAGATAACTTAGGTTTGTTTTTTACTAAAAGCTCAGTTATGGTTCTTTCTGAGAACCGAGTAACAAGTTCAAGTCCTTGCCACATATGCATTTCTTAATAAATGCAGGAATATTCATTTCTTTTCATTGAACATGATTGAGGGTTTTTTTTTTTTTTTTTTTCAAAATTTTCTCCGCTTTGCTACTATTGCTTTGAATGCGTATTTCATCAGCTTGATACTGTCAGGTTGGAAAATACAGGTTCTACATCATGAGTAATGATGAATGTCATCTTCCTGCAAAATCAGAAATCTGCACCAATAAATCAAGCTATTTTTTTTCATTTTTACTCACATTGTATGATGCAAATCAAATGTGCATTTTGATCTAATAGTAATTATCACAGTTATTCTATCATTACTGCCTTGGCTGTGTATGTGGGCAAAAGTAGCAAGAAGGGAAATAAGAAAGTTTGTGAGGATAATAGTAAGTAGCCTAGCATGATGCTAGAACTACCAAGTAAGATTTAGATCTCCAGAGAGCAAGACTGCCGCTTACTGATGACAGTGATGGAACACAGTTACGTAAAATTCCACATTAACATTTGACTTCTCTTTCTTGACATATTGCTAAGTGCAGTACATCATTTTCTTAAAGCCCTGACTCTAGCTGAAAAGGAAATTAGATGTGACTTTGAGTAATGGTTTTAAACAGGTTGCCTTACAGACAAAACAAGGCTAACACTAGATACAATCACATGCTTTGCTGCTGATGTTAACTAGTAATTACATGTCAACATGGAATAAAAAAAATCACTTTTTATTATATATATTATTATGTAATCACTTTTTGTTTATATTAATTGTGGGGAAAACCTTGATTTTTATTTTATAAAAATTTATTTTATAAAAATTTTATTTATAAAACATGTATTATAGAGTAAGAGTGTGAGAGGAAATTGTATTTTAAAAGCTTTCATTAGTGGAGTTAGAGGGTCCTCTGGCCCTGACCATCTGCATTCACATTCAGGTTTCAGAGGAATCTGCAGGGTGGCAAATGAGGAGCACACTATCCTCTCTGTAGTGTGAGTGCAGGTGAATACATTCATACCTACAGATTATACCTGGGGTCACAGTGGCTGCCAGTTTTCAGGGCAGGAGATAGAGCCTTTTAAGAGAGACATTTGACAAAGAACGGACTCCACAATAGTCGCAAGAATTGGTGCTACTGGGTTGATAGTAAATCAAGTGGAGTAGCAGAGATTATCCAATTGGAAAATAGGGTATAGAACTATATCTAGGAAGATCATATCACATCACCATTGGAAGTAGTGGGTGACCTGTGAAAAATCAACTATAATTTAGAATTTAGAGGAAGCAATGTGAAAGAAAGAAGAGATTTGGGAATATTTAAAACTGT